ATACGGCCCCTCGTGGTACGGGCTGAATCTTATTATGATAATGATCTAGCTTACAAATCTAAATCTTTAATAAATTGCGTGGTTTTCTTCAGTAAAACAAAATAATAACTTTAGGTCGAGTTTCTCTTCTGTCTTTACTGTATTTTTAAGGTATTAAATTATCTTTATATGTAAGTAAACAATAGTAATCCATCACGGCAGCTGGTTTATACTTTATATAATTTAGAAATAACGAGACATTTTTTATTGACGCGAATAATAACTTAGCTTTCCCCCTGTAGCGAAGCCCGCCAGGAATGACGGTAGGACTGGGATTCTGTATAGGTTGCTTCCGAGCGTGCGATTTTGCTTTGAAGAAGAAATGGCGGATTCTCACAACTTTTTGCAACCATCGATGGCATTTGTCCATGTAGGGAAACAACCAAGGAACTTTTATCTCGATGCAGATATAACTTCATAGATCAAAACAAGTCGTTTTACCTTTTTAGTCCATTTAATATGAGCTCATTCGATATATGATTGCGAGATTGTTTAAGCTATACAGCAATTTCACTGTCAAATTAATTGAAAGGTATATAAAATTATTGACACCATACAGTACATGACAATATTTTATGGGAATAAAATTTGCTTAATTTACAAACAACAAGACCTTTTTTCACCTATCTGAAGCGATAAAAATCCACGATCAGCCAAAAAGCATACGAAAATATTTAAACACTATGCTATAATAAAATTCCATATCGATTTCCTCTTTATCTACTGTAGATTATGTATATAGTGATTCTTTTCAGATGTAACTCTCGGAAATTTGTTTCGACAGGAGGATATTATAACAGGACATCCAGATATCCTCCGTTTTCAAAAAACTTCGCAGTTTTTGATATCGTGACGAAACAATCTTTCTCGTGAGACACCGGGTTACCTTCTATAGGTTAATATACAGGAAAATTTTAACCAGAGTCTTTGGAATATACGTCCACGCTGCCTCAATTAAGTTGTGTTTAATTGTATGAAATGTCATTTTTTAATATATACAGTATCTAAGGGACAGAGCATCGTCACGTGTGTTCTATGGGTTATAGAGTACCGAGAATTAGATAGAATAGTCAGAATACCACGATACCCTATAGAGAAGCCCGCCATGCATGCATTCGACCGATGGAATTACTTTCTACTATCACGAATTATGACCAGCAACAACCCATGATCAATTTCTTTTGCAAGTCATAATTTTTTTGAAAACAATACGAACATTTTTGTTCATCACACCATAAATTAACGGATGAGCACATGTGTTTGCATTTGCCAGTAATAACGATGCGTACATAAATTCCTTGGGTAGACTGAAGATTTTGAATGCCAATGGAGAAGCTACTATGAAATATGGCGTCCATAGGAAAAGAAACACGACGATGATAGTTATTGTAAGAAGCGACGCCTGATGTTCTTTACAAAACCCTGCAACATTATTGCGCTGTGAAGCGGCTGCGTGTTCGGACACAAACCGTCTACTTTTCAAGACTGCTTTCATAATGAGTACATTACAGCAGACGAGAATCAGTAGAGGTACAAAATAACCAAGATGAATCATCACCATTGTCGCTTCTTTGCTGTTCTCCATGTCAAGCATACAATGATAAAAGTTTTCAATGTGCACGTATCTCGCTGTAAGAAAAGTGGCTCCACATAAGGCCGTGGGGATGAGTCAAATAATTAAAAGGCCAATTTTAACGGCGTTTGTGGTAAAAATAGATCTATGCTTTAGAGGATAGTTGGTGGCAAGAAATCTCTCGAAACTGATAAATACCATCGTATACATTGAAACGAGGCACAGCAGTTCACCCAATAGGCCACTGAAACTACACAGAGGCCCGAGTACTGTTAACTTGTCAATAAACAACATGAATACGTTTAGTGGAGCGGCAGTGAAAGAAAACAACAAATCCGTTATGCTCAAGTTTAGAATGATCAAATTAGAGATTGTTCGTAGACTGCGAAATCGATAAATGGCAATCACGACGAGAGAGTTTCCTACCGTAGATATTATAATTATGAAAGACACCAAGATCGTTTCCTGTACTTTATCATGTGAAGTCGATTTATGATGCGCGTAGTTCCACCGGATTCAGATGAGTTTAATACCATGATGCTGATCACACGTTTACGAAAGACAAGACAAGCCTTGAGTTATAGCCTTTAGTTACCTTGTATAGGTTTAGTCCAACAGCCCATGAAATTTTTAATACGGTACGAATGATTGTGACGTGTTTATGCTAGCAATTTTACCCATTTTGATCACAAGGCGTGTAATTTATTGGTTTTTAATGAAAAAATCAGTCTGCAGCTGATTTATTATATGCTTAGAGCATGATCGCACCTACTCAGCCAATCAGAACGCAATATTTCAGCGGTCTATATCACATAAGCTGTCGTATATCGAGCTTCATAGCAATTACAGTTGGTCTATTATATAACTCATTAATATGCTCTATATTGAACACACTAATGAAGCATTCTGCAAAAGATATCCAAAGCAAAACGTTATGATGGTATCTATATATAGAGAATATACCAACCAGTTGAATAAACTCACTGCGAGTGTTAATCAATAAAAAAATGCTGTAGTAAAAATATACGTCCTAAAAATATAAAGAAAGAAATAATCCTTCGTGGATGTGATCAGACGGATTACGGCCCCTCGTGGTACTCTATCTAATTTTCGGGACTCTATAACCCATGGAACACACGTGACCATGTTCTACCCTTACATATTAGAAAATAACATTACATATAATTAAACATAACTTGAGGCAACGTGGACGTATATATTCTAAAAGGTCTTAATTCCCATAAAATATTCTCATGTATGGTATCAATATTTTATATACCTTGCAATTAATTTATGATGGGTAAAATTGATATAGCTTAAACAATCTCGCAATCGGTTGTTTATCAATTATCCCATGAGCTCGATTAAATGCACTAAAAAGGTAAAGATGCCATCGATGGTTGCAAAAAGTTGCGAGAATCCGCCATTTCTTCAAAAAAAATTCGCACGGTCATGTGGAAGCCATTTTGTTCGGAAGCAACCTGCAGACTCCTACCGTCATTCTTGCGGGGCTTCACTACAGGAGGAAAGCTCAATTATTATTCACGTCAATAAAAAATGTCTTGTTATTTTTAAATTATATGAAGTATAAACCTGCTGTCTGGTTATAATTTAAGAACTTCTCATCAGGATAATTTTTGTGAACTCAAATACAGAACAATCTATTTTGGTTATTCATATTTTCCTACAGTTATACGCTCATGGAACAGTCTACGTCCTACTTTAAAAACTATTATACACGAATATAGCACTTTTAAAACCGCGCTAAAGGAACTCTATACTCTTTGAGATTGGTAGATAGTAGTGACTTTTAAAGGAACACTCCACTAAAAATATATTGAGGTGCAAACAAAAGATTGTACTTACATTAGGTTATATTACTTCGAAGTTTGAATGGACAATTCTTTTTAGGTAAGGAGGAATTGCTCACCGAAGTTTGTAAAATCCCTTATTGAACGACGCCATGTTGTCTTTCTCAAGCAGACGCGTAACGCCAGCCAAGGCCAGCGGTTCCACACAAAAAATGACGTCACTGAGTGCTTTCATCCTTCGCGCGAAACTTCAAAAACTTTCATTATACTGTGGTAGTGTTTACTGTTTAATTAATTGTGTTTAATCAACTGTGAAATTAACAAAATATCCAAATGAGTTGTTGAACTTGCGCGGGTTGTCCCTCCTGGGGCCGGTTGTATAAAAAAGTGATTAAATTTAACTATAGTTAGTGGAAATGTCATCCAATAAGAAGCGCGTATTTGAGAGTTAATCACTATTTAACTACAAGATAGTGATTAAAAAAGTGATTAAGAGTTTTATACAACCGGCCCCTGATATTTCGCAACCAAATGCTTTTAGGTGGACCACTTGGCAGTCTATGATAAGTAGTGTCTGAGCATTTAGTTTTTCTCCAACCGTTTGTACATTTCCGAACCATACAGTGCGGCATTTTTGTTAATTTCACAGTCGATTAAACACAATTAATCAGTATAAAACAGTAAATATACACTAAGGGATTTTACAAACTTCGATGAGCAATTCCTCCTTACCTAAAAAGAATTGTCTTTTCAAACTTCGCAAGTAACCTAACATAAGTACAATCTCTTGTTTGCACGTCGATATATCTTTTAGTGGAGTGTTCCTTTAACTTAGTTGAATTTTTATAGTATTTATAATGTAGTCAGTATTTTATACAATTAATGGCATGTCATATATATGCATGTATAGTTAAATGTATAGCTGCAATTGGGACTATGTCCTGTGCGGTCACCTTTTGCTAAATGTAAATATTTTATTTTGCAATAAAGTGATCAGGAAGGAAGGAAGGAAGAGAGGATTGGATTCAATCCAAAAGTGTTAGTCTATTCTGTGACCGTTTTTGGTGGCAGAACAACCCTTCTGGAGTTTATTCAACTCCTTGAGACTTACTGCGATGTTACATAACTTACATTCAAGCGAATCAGTATTTAAGGAGAGAATCCATGTGAAATTGGGCATTATTATTTGTGCAATTTTCTCTTCTTGTGTCGAAACAACAAACACATACTATGCGCAGTCTTAATTTTCTATTGTTTGATCATCAGTTTTTGATCGCTTGAGATACTGCACGTCAATGAAAATATCTCGCTATTTGTAAACTATATTAACTCCGAATAGCTGTCGCGTTGTGTTTTTCATTTCCACGGAATATTGTCATGTATATATTAACTGTGATATATATGGATGTTTTAATTAAGTTGGGCAAAATTGCTAACTTAAGCATCTCACGATCACGTGTATATATAAAATGTCTCGTGAGCTCTCATATAGACCAAGTGCGCCAAAAAGTATTTTAGTCCAGACGCTCTGATTTAAGTTGAACTTTGTCTCTTGTACCGAGAAGATAGTCCTCATCATGGCATTAAACACTTCATTTGAGTCTGATACAAACTTTGATTATGAATCGACAGTTCGGCAGGTGATCTCGGTGTTTTTAATAATAATGTCTGGTATAGGAAACCCTCTCGTCGTGTGTGCCATCTACCGATTTCGTAGTTTGCGAACAATCTCGAATTTGATCATTCTCAACTTGAGCATAACGGATTTGTTGTTTTCTCTCATCACCGTCCCAGTAACCATATTCATGCCGGCTGAAGACAAGTCAACCAATTCCAGCGGCCTATGTGTTTTCGCGGGCATGACAGCTGGAATGTTGGCCACCGCTTCAATTTATACTCTGGTATTTATAAGTTTCGAGAGATTTCTTGCCACGAACTATCCCATGAAACATAGATCTATTTTTAGCAAAAAAGCTGTTAAAATAGGTCTTTTGGTTATATGGATTTGCGTCACCATCCAATGTGGAGTCGTTTTTCTTACAACGCGCTACGTGTACATAGAAAAGTTTTATCATTGTATTGTTGACGTGGAGAACAGCAAAGAAATGGCGTTGATGATGTTTCATCTTGGCTATTTGTTACCTCTACTGATCCTCATCTGCTGTAATGTACTCATTATAAAAGCAGTCTTGAAAAGTAGACGGTTTGTGTCCGAACACGCAGCCGGTTCACAGCGCAATAATGTTGGATTTTGTAAAGAACATCAGGCATCGCTTCTTACAATAACTATCATCGTCGTGTTTCTTATTCTGTGGACGCCATATTTTATCGTAGGTTCTTCATTGGCATTCGAAATTTTCAGTCTACCCAAGGAATTTATATCGGCATCGTTATTACTGGCAATTGCTAATGCATCTCTTAATCCGTTGATTTATGGTGTGATGAATAAAAATTTTCGCATTGCTTTCAAAAAAATCGTTTGCAGAAGTAATTGATTATGAATTATAGCCTAAGACATAGCTCGTGATAGTTCAAGGTAACGCCATTGGTCGAAACTTAAAACTTGATGGTATATTCCCGCGCGTTCATCAAAAGTAATTTGCAAAAGTCAACTTTTTATATATGCACATTGTTATAGTTGAAATATGGTAGTAATAAAGCACACTTCCTACGGCATCACTGTAAATTTCAAGTAGTTGAATCTAAATAACAGAATAACCAGAAAGAATAGCCATAACTATGGGTGAAACAACAACACACATGCATATATTACGCATGCAGTGTTAATTTTCTATTGATTGATCATCATGCAGTTAGTGATCGCTTCGAGATACATCAATGAAAATATCTCGTTGTTTGTAAAATATAATATCCGAACAGCTGCCGCGTGTCTTTTTTCATTTCCATAGAATATTGTCATGTATATAATATTAGTAATATATCTATATACGCTTGAGCTTTTAATTAAGTTGGGTATAAAATTGCTAGATTAAACATCTCACAATCATTTGTATATCCAATGCCTCGTGAGCTCATATATAGACCAAGTACACCAAAACGTAAAATTTTCCGTAATGTAAACGTAAATTTTTGTCCGGGTCGACGCTCTGATTTTAGTTGAACTTTAATTTGTCTCTTCTATCGTGAAGATAGCCTATAGTCCGCATCATGGCATTAAACACTTCATTTGAGTTTGATGCAAACTTCGATTATGAATCGACAGTTCGGCAGGTGATCTCGGTGTTTTTAATAATAATGTCTGGTATAGGAAACCCTCTCGTCGTGTGTGCCATCTACCGATTTCGTAGTTTGCGAACAATCTCGAATTTGATCATTCTCAACTTGAGCATAACGGATTTGTTGTTTTCTCTCATCACCGTTCCAGTAACCATGTTCATGCTGGCTGAAGACAAGTCAACCAATTCCAGCGGCCTATGTGTTTTCGCGGGCGTAACAGCTGAACTGTTGTGCACCGTTTCAATTTATACTCTGGTATTTATAAGTTTCGAGAGATTTCTTGCCACGAACTATCCCATGAAACATAGATCTTTTTTTACTAAAGAGGTTGTTAAAATTGGTATTTTGATTATTTGGGTTTTCGTCACCATTCAATGTGGAGTCGTTTTTCTTACAACTCGCTACGTCTACATTGAAGAGTTTCATCATTGTATCCTTGACTTCGGGAACAGCAAAGAAGCGCCATTGATGGTGTTCCATCTTGCCTATTTGTTACCTCTACTGATTCTGATCTGTTGTAATGCACTCATTGTAAAAGCAGTCTTGAAAAGTAGACGGTTTGCGTCCGAACACACAGCTGCTTCACAGCGCAATAATGTTGGGTTTTGTAAAGAACATCAGGCGGCGCTTCTTACAATAACTATCATCGTCGTGTTTCTTATACTGTGGACGCCATATTGTATCGCAGCTTCTTCGTTGGCGTTCGAAATTTTCAGTCTACCCAAGGAATTTATGTACGCATCGTTATTACTGGCAGTGGCAAGTGCATCTGTTAATCCATTAATTTATGGTGTGATGAACAAAAATTTTCGCACTGCTTTCAAAAAAATTATTGTTTGCAAACGAAATTGACTATTGGTTGTTGGTCATAACTCGTGATAGCAGCAGTCGAAATACATTTGTGAACACTTTGTGGAGATTGAAAGACTGATTATTAGCGCTAAGAATAATCGGACTTATACAGAATGATCTAAAGACTAAACTTCAATAAATCTCGTGTTTTTTTCTACCAAAACGAAAGAATTAGAACGTTAGGTGGAGTTTCATCTCTTCTATATCTTTACTGTATTTTAGAACTTAAAAGTTCTCTTGATATGTAAATAAACATTGTAAGGTAAAATATGTAATATTGAATATCTAAATAATTAATATGAAGTTTTCAATTCTAGTGAAATTCCTCCCGAGGCCCTGGCCACAGATCAAGTATGGACCAGATGTGTAACTTCAGTAAAAAAGTTGTCCCATGGTCGCCATCTTCCTAGTAGTCGCCGGCGTGATAATTCGTCATTTGATAATATGTCTTACTTTCAAAAATGCTTTCAACACCTTTTCAACAACTTTAATTGCTTTCAACAACTTTAAACATTCAACATTGATTTTTAATCCAAAAAATTCGATCCAAAAAGGCCGCAATAAAGTGCAAAAGTTCATTTTGCTAGCAAGTGTCAAGGCGTGAGCATGACGTCTATATCCAGGGAAATTTGAGGACTCGAAGTTCGATGTATTAAGTTACACATATGGTCATCTGTGTCCTGGCGGGAATCGAAACTCCAGCTCTCGTTTGTTTATATTTAAAATAACATATTCCGAGTTTCACGCTTTTCACGATCGTCAGGCGACGATGTAACTGTTTATGCAACTAACTTTTCCTGCTTGGTGGCGTTGATTTGCGTTGGGCTGCTAGCTTGCGTGATCGATCTACCGCACGTTCAAAATTTCCGGTCAAGAGTCGTTTTTGGTGAACCCACTTCGAGACATGTATAGCCCGAGTTTATATATATAGCCAACGTAAATGGGATTGTGTAATGCTGCGGGCCCCTTGCCTAATTTTGCATGCTACAGTTTGTGAAAAAATTATCAATGTGCGTGGATGAATTTTGTCACTTTTATTCGCAATAGACCACTTTGTCAATTCCTATAGTCCCAGTAATGCCAATTTCAATGACTGTGTCCTATTTGAGGAATCAGTATCAGTTTTATAGTCGCAACTAAGGCAAATGTTTGAACGTGTAGATGCAAGCCTCGCTCTCAATCTTCAATAAATACTTCGATGGTCGCAGAACGTTTTGTTGTCAAGCCCCTTGTTCGTTTAGTTTATGCCGAAATTTCGTTATGCTTGTTTATTGTATTACATACGGCAGAATAAGAATCGTACACAACTAATCGCATGGTGTAGACCGAGCTACAAACGGTGTTTCCCAATATACCCTCACGGAAAGTACGTCCTATTTGGCTATAGAGCTTCGCTTTCGCGATTGAGAGATTATAGGCTCTAACTGATGACGCACTTTCGGGAACGGTTATTTCCGGCTGCGTACGTACATAACGGCCATCATATGCACCCTTAAACTTCGTTGCCAAGTTCCCAGCAAATAAGGTATTGGCTTATAGCATTTTGCGTGGAGTATATGTACTACTTAAAACACGAGCAGGAGTGCTTTATCAGATATAAAACATGAGGGCGCATGCAGCTCGAGTATTTTATATCTGATAAAGCACAGACTACGAATGTTTTAAATGGCTTCAAAAACGACCCATCTGATGAGTTTATTGGCGAAGTAATTTTAGAACTAACGTTGTCTAGCCGAGAAAATCAAAGCTAAACTTTATGTGAATGAATATGATTTTTATCACATGCATAAAAAACCAGCGACACGCCAGCGATTTCTTTTGTGTTTTCCTCCTGAATTATTGATGCGTTTTTATGTACTATTTAAAATAATAATTCATATAAACTTTGTGGCAATCATGTCAGCCGTAATATGTCACGTGGAGTGACTTTATATCTGATAATACACATGTGGCATTATAATTGTTCGTCCAAATTAGTATTCTTATATAAAGAATACTAATGAGACGGGGAAGGGGAGAATTACATGCCCCGAGCCCCCACCTTAATAGGGCCTCAACTTGAGAGCGCGAGGCATGAAATTGAGTATATAGGTTCTTTAAATTGGTCAGAGCATTTTCGAAATCGGCCGCCCTGCATATAACATCCCCTTTATAACGTTCATAGGGTGATAAAACTTGCAAGTGTACAGGATGGAAGACCTGGACTGGTGGCAATCAAACAGCCGCAGATAATGAGAATTCGAATTGTCGGAATTGTAATCACTCGTTGGCAAGTCATTTAGCTACGTTGGATGGTAAAACTGATGAGGAACTTGACAACGTCTTGTCAATGGTGATTGATGTCGAGACACTGTATGTGTGTCTACATAATGAAAAGGATGAAGACACAAAGAAGCTCTACACTGGTTTATTTAAGTTAGTTAGAAAGTGTGTCTTCCAATCTGTGAAGCCATCCTTTGTCATGATGGGGAACCCTCCGTTTGAGAGCCCTACTATTGAAAACGTAAGTCGATAATTGTATTCTGGTAACCGGTGGCCTATTGTAAAATAAGTATGTAGTCATTGTATAATACTTATTTAACACCTTATTTATTAGTAATTTTATTCTGATATTGAATAAATGTTCCCATTTTATTGACAGTGTAATGGAACGCGCTGAATTTTAGATTAACCTGGGTTATGCTCCCTGGTTTTGAATAGAGGGATCATGATGATATTTATTTTCGGTCATCGTGTGTTAATTACATATTACGTCTTTAGGTTTTCTGCTTTCATAGTTATAAAAATCAAGCTCTTAGCTGTCAAATGACACCTTTATGGAATCTTTGCGATAAAAAGTGATGACATTTTCACTTTTAGGTTTTAAATGTTCTTGCGATTTTATATATATGGAGCGATGTTTTGGGAGTGATCGATTTTACGGATTGCAATCGTTTGCTTAACTCTTTCCCAACCGCCCCAGGACCGACAATGCTTTACCGACTGTGTTAGATGTTGAGACCAGTGCATTCGATTAGTTCGCTCTTTTAAAATTGTAATGTTGCGACCGTTTTGGATATTTAAAACGATTTAAAACTATGTGTTTCAGAATATTTTTGAGTCATTGGATAGCAAACACTCAGTTGATGTTATTTATATTGATTTTGGAAAAGCAGTTTACAAAGGGTACAAAGAGTTGCTCTATATATACAGGGTCACTATTATGAATGGTTTGAAGTGGTCTCTGAATTGCCCAGGGGTCTGTTTTGGATCCATCGCTGTTTACACTTTATAGTCAATGATATTGCGCAGTACGTTACTCCACCAACAAAAGTGGTCCAATACGCGGACGACTATAATATTTACTATTTATTATTTAAATTTTAAAACTTTGAACTGTTGCCAACTAATATAGGTATAATGTTAAAAGTATATATGAAAACAATTCAGATTATTAACGATGCACCGTATACCTGTAAATATATACACCAGATAGCCAATACATCCTCTTCATTTATATATCTTCATATATGTATATATGTATATCATCATATATACGGGCACCTCTGAATCTATGTTGCATGTAACCTTAAAATACTCATTAAAAATTCATAAACCTTGTGGCAAATCATGTCAGCCATAATATGTCACGTGGGGTGACTTTATATCTGATAAAAATCATCTTCATTAGTATTCTTTATATAATTGTTCATCCTAATTAGTATGATTATATAATTGTTCATCCTAATTAATATGATTATATAATTGTTCATCTTAATTTGTATTCTTTTCTAGTCGTATTTTAAGCTATTCAAAACACTCGTTGTTGTGTTTTATCAGATATAAAACGCTCGGCTGCGCCTTGTGTTGTATGTCTGATAAAACACCCCTACTCGTGTTTTAAATAGTACACATGCAGGTGCAGTTAATAGTACATATGGAGGTGAATATTTGGATCACTTTTATTTTCACTAGTGTAAGAGCACATGTATTTTCCCAATCCATGCTACGAACTTCCCAACGAAGGGCCTTCGTTCGAAACGTCGATGTGGTATTTGTATTTTTCAGGTGGTTGATCCCTTTCAGTCCGCAGCTTTCTGGTGGTGTTTTCACTGACTATGCTGGCACAGACCACCGTTCGAGTATATAAATTTTGGAACTCTTTTCAAATCTTTCAGGCAATCTTCAACTTTCTTCATATGAAGTACGAAAACACCGAAGACAAACAGATGATGCATGACTTAGCGAAAATGTTTATTCATTGCCTCAATAATTGGACGTTGGACACTCCGTCGACCAGAAAACAGCAAGATTACAGCACCGAAGAACCGTCTTCGTACAAATCGAATTATTCAAGGTAAAGACAGTATAAACTGGTACATTTCCATTTGGCACGAAAACATAGCAGGTTTTCCCGCCGGTTGTTTTTGGGCTGAAAACTCAGCAAGTCTTCCGTCGTTCTGAGAACTGATGCTCTTTAAATGACTTGCTTTTTACTAACTGCCTGTCTTTCCGGTAACTGTCCGTCTTTTCCATACCCAACCGCCCGTTTTTTCTATAATAGTCCCCTGTTTTCTGTAAGTAACTGTCCGTCTTTTCTATAAGTGTCCGTGTCCATATATCTGTGTGCGCTATTACACTCAAATAAGTTTTATTGTATTGAGGAAAGGCTAACTTTGATATACAGCCCTAAAAGTTTGATGTAATATTACGTGAGATACAAACGTTTGAATATGGCGCACGGTTTAATAATGAGTAAAAAAATCGAGAAACATGGCTGATCAAATTTATATGAAAATGTTCCACAAAAATTAACAATTTCAATTTCAGCATTTCAACTCAACTTTCATTTCGTGTAATGTCCTAGTATAAGTTAACCTTTCGTGTTTCTTGGGAATTAAGCGAAATAAGCATGAAACATTTAAATACGTTCGAAAGCATTATTTGACCTCCTTTGAGAGTTCTATTATAAAGTTGGTCGTCGTTCGCCTTTCCATTATGCCTCGATTAACAAAAGATCAAAGAGTTTGGTTTTATGGTTTCCCGTGCAAGACATTGTATATGTGAAAAAGGTTAAAATGAATGAATGAATAAATGTTTATCCAACAATTATGTTTTTTATTCGTTCTTTTGGCCACAATAAAACTATATAATCAACTTTAACCAAATAATATTTGATAGGCAATTTTATGCAAATGTTTAACATTGTCAAATATGCTTATTCGATTTAAGACATCGATAGCTCAGTAAATATTGCACGGGCATTTAAATGTTATATATCAAAATCTAAGTTAGCCCTTTCTGAATACAATATAACTTATTTGAGTGTAATAGCTTTTATAATTTTTATGTTACATTAAATCAATCAGCGCAAGTTTTTTTTTGAGACACCCGGTACAGTGCTGGTCAAATATTTTAGAACACCCTTTTCTTGACTGTTACACAGAAAGTCGTGTCTAACTCAAAATGCAACCAATTATCCTTTCTCACGATGACGAATATTCGCCATTATTGGGTGGCATCTAATTCTCGTTAACCAATGCAGACAATTAAAACAATGTGAAAAGCACTTTTTCAAAATAAACTAACCATTTACAAAGCAAATTTACCATCATTCGTTCAAAAAATTATAAAAAGTCGCTGTTATGTCCACTTACCTCGCTGACTTCGGCTGAAATGCCACCCAAAAATGGCGGCGTGAGAAAGGCTAATTTGAATGAAAATTTATATGTAGTAGAGCAAGAGATTACCCGCTCATTGGTAGTTTTTGAAATTGGCTTTGTAAACCGGAAGTACAGTTGTCACCAAATATTTCTTAATTGAAAGAATCACAGCTGTTGAAAACCTGACGTGCAACTCGATCGTTTTATTTTGATTTTAAATTGTAGATATTTGGCTGAAATTAAGGTTACGAGACACCAATTGGCCGGGTGAAAAATTATCATTTTTGTATTTTTCAATACTAATACTGTTTACAATACTAATTTCAAAAACTACCAATGAGTGCATGGGTAATGTCTCGCTCTATTACATGATAAATTATTAATTAAATTGGTTGCATTTTGAGTTAGATGTGACTATTTTTGTAACAGCTAAAAAGGGTGTTCTAAAACATTTGACCAGCACTGTATACAAACTTATAGAGTCAAAATTATCCGTTATAAAATTTAGTTTTTCACCCCCACGTACAATTAGTTAGCTTTGTAAAAATCTGTGTCACTGCCATAAGTTCTTACCATTTAGTTTCTTACCATTTTGCAGATGGCTATGTTTCTGCCGGGTTCCTGTGTTTTGTAGCAGTTTTACAAAGTACAATCTTTCGCAAGTATTTGGAAAGAGCTTCTTCCAGATTTTATTACCCTCCCTTGGTAAACAGTTATTGGATAAGTTCTCCGCTGATAGGGAGAAACTTCCAGCAGAGAAACGTACCATCCTTATCACTCACTTTCCCAGGTAAGTCAATTACTAAGCGTTGATCAAAAGTTTTTATTTTGTTAAATTGTTTTGTTTTATTTTTATAAAATTTTTTTTTGGGCGAAAGTTTACACGATATTGGACTTGCTGTGAGCTGTTCCCCATCTTTGATTATTGAGTATACAGCTATTTCAATTAAGGTTGTCCCCCGATGAAAGCGGAAAAGTCGAATACGAGCGCGAAAGGCTGCTGGGAATCGCTAATAAATTCTTTCATTTATTAGCGATTCCCAGCAGCCTTTCGTGCTCGTATTCGACTAACTTATTAGCGATTCCCAGCAGCCTTTCGCGCTCGTATTCGACTTTTCCGCTTTGCTCCGGGGACAACCTTAATTGAAACAGCTGTATGCCACTGAAATGAATATATCTGGAACGTTACACTGTACCTCCAACCGGAAATATGAAGCCAAACATGACGACTGGTCCCAGTCTTTTCACGCATGTCAGGAGCACTCAATCCATCAATCATGATGTTAACACACATGTCTTGAAAAATAGGCTGTTTATCTGAAGCTTATCAGTTCCAGATATATTCCTTTCAATGATATATGCATGTTACGTCGCAAGTGTGGTCACGCAATTTTTTGTGTTGATAGCTAGTGATCAATATGAGCCAGAAACTCGCCTTTGGTTACTATTTCAAATTTCTGAGTGAGTAAAAGCTTCTTAGGCAACTTTAGATTGTTACTTGGCCGCTTATAGGAGTAATTTTATAAGCTCAAGCCCGCTCCTGACATCACCAAGACCACAGTTAATAATGAGGCTAAAAATAAATTCTAGATAGCGGACAGCTCTTTTATTTCAGAGACATTAAAATCTACATTTACGGCAGACTGCCAACCACAAACGACAAACTATAAATCGTCTGTGGGGTCCAACAAATAGCTGCACAAAGTTATGCTCATTTGTGCATTAAAATTGAAGTACGAGTTACCTGCGTAGCTTTCGACCAATTGTAGAACTTATCTTCAAATGCGATTTGAGGTTTGCCTTTTAGCGGTAAACGTCAATCTTAAGTCTCAGTATACAAATTATGCTAGCTAGATATAAAAAAACTACATATTTTACATACATATACTGTATATTATAATAGCTCTTTCAAATGAAACGATAGAAGACTGCAAAACAAAGCTAGAGTTAGAATTTGGATCCGCAGTTAACCTTCTTTAAAAATATAAGAACACTAATAAAGCGCTATTATTGGAATTCACTAAACATTTGAAATTAAATGTTGGGTTTATCTGATCAGTGAGACAGGTATCTCTGATATGAACAAAACTAGCGAAAGATGAAATTAATAAAGAAGTTATTATGTGATTTTTGATTTTGCGATTTTGGCTTGAGACGGCACACAAGAAATTTAACTTATCAGGTATACTTGAAAAGAGGTTGTATTAACAAATTTAAATATACACCGAAACTTATACACGACATATTTTCATCCAGATTTCTTAAAGATTTGGAAGAAGAGGTTATGAATAATGATAGCCTTATTTGGAAAGAAGAAATTGAGCCCAAACGAGAACCAGCAACAGACGTCGCCCCATCATCTCCGGAAACGACTAATGATGCAAGGTCAGTTTTGTCATTGGAGGAAACATCTCTATTTTTTTTCGGGTGCGACTAAAAGAGAGTTGTTAACCAGGGGTGGAAATGCTTTTTTCTTTCTGTGAAATTGGATTGGGGTTCAAAATTTTCTGCAAAAGATTACAATAAATAGGAACAAAATTGTCGTTTGTCCATGACCGTCTTGATACGCGCGCAGTACTTGTTGATTAGCAATTAGTTACAGGATTAAAAACACATTTTCCACTGCAGGCTATATGAATTGTTCTGATGGTATTTATAGTAATTTAGATAATCAGTCTAATTTTATTATCTCATACCTAGCGTATTAGCGGCTTTCCTATTGGCTGCAAGGAGGTGCGTTCAATCTCGAACTCACCTTCTGACGTAAGTTTAGGAGGTGGGTTCGAGATCGATGTTTCGGCGGCGGCCATTATGAAGCGATTTGAACAAATTTCAGACGAACATTTAAAAAAAAAATGGACCGTTTTTAATTGTTTTATAATTATTTTTTTTTTTTATTTTGTTTGATGAAAATGGAATATTCTCTTTTCAAGAATAAGGGAATATTGTAGAGAATTTTTTTTAGCTTCAAGTTAAGCCTAAGTTTGTTTGCGTAGTATGTTGGCAGTACTTTAGTACTTTTTAACGAAATGGCATGTGATAAAAACCAAACATACTTGCAGGTTCAGTGAATCCGGGATTGGACGCACCTCGGGTGGCTGGAAGTTTCCCGAACCCACCTCGCTTCGCTCGGTAAGTTCGGGAAACTTCCAGCGACCCTCGGTGCGTCCAATCCCGGACTCACCTCCCTGCAAGTATGTTTGTTATAGAATTGGCTACTGTAGCTTTTAAACATAAAAGAATGTCTGTGAAAGTTTATGCAAGAATGTAGATCCCCGAAAGTTATTGTACCCTAGTTCCCAGCTTCCGATACTTTTGCACCTCTAGGGAAAGGGGAAGTTAAATAGGTTTTGGAGAGTTAATTTCGAACCAAACCCGAACCATAAGTTGTTTGAAATATTTTAAGCGTCTTGCTATTCGCCCTGTCACTGTTGGTTGTACTGGTATACTTTCTTGTTTCAAGCGACATTCCTTTCCTGCATCGTAATATTTGAATAAAAATTGCTTATACACTTGCCAATAAGATTTTAGGTTTTGAATAATACGCAAATAATTAATTCGCAATTACGCGAGACTGAAAAAAATTCCCTCTTAATAATCCAAGTATCAAGAGATTTGTATACAGTTAGGTCGTCTTTTCATAAAATCGTAGCTCATGTTTTGCCGAGTTTCCATCCCATACCTCGATTTACTTTGCTTCTATCTAGTTGTTGTTCTTCTTGGAGCTCTTCCATATGTCTAGGAGCAATACATTCATCACAACAGCGGTCCCACTCGTGTGATGTATATATAATATTTTGCTCCTAACCGTGAGGCTAATTGCTCTGATGAGATCCACATCTTGTGGTACGAAGCTAAATAGGAATGAAGATGTCTAGTGGAATTTGTTAAGTTGTTGCATTTCAATTTATTTTATATGTAATCTATGATAAGTTTCAGTCGGCTAACATCTTCCTATCCAACCAAGATAATCACATTCTAATACGTTTCACACTTATTGACTTGGAACCGAGGGAAACAGTAGAATGTTCTGATTTGACTTCCATTACCACTGCCTCTTACAGGCTTAATACGCATTTGATTGGTTAATCTGATAGAACAAATGGATCTGATTCGTTAATGGTAACAGTAGCAGTAGTGGAAGTCAAATTTGAACATCTCTAGTGTCCTTTGTGGACGAAGCGAAGTCGAGGGAAACATTGGCAGTCGATGGTCCACCAAACCTACTGTTTCCTGAAGGTCTCACAAGGAAACCCAGATTAGAGTAAGATTTATGTCACTTAGGGTAAGGTTAAGGCCAAGTCTGAACCACTAAATAGTGGGGCCTGCAGGGCCAACTGCCCCCCCCCCTCCCCCCTGCGTATATGTCAAACTATGCGAAACTTCGTAATTCAGAGTGTGCGAAACTGCGTGAAACATTAATTCTGTTTATATTTTTCAAGTAGTAGTTGTATCTCTCGATCAGCAACTGCATGTCCTTTGTTTTGAAAATGCTTCCATGCAGCGAATTTTTGGGATATGTTTTCATAGTTCTTTTATATTTTACATTTAGTATCGACAGTGGTTTGCTAAGCCCACGAACTTTGTCTTCATTGCATCTGGCCGCCCCAGCCGCTGTAAATCATGGTAAGGTGTAAGGTCAAATTTCTTATCGTTGTGCAATATAAACGCACTGCAAGTGGATAGAACTGGGAATTACCCTTTAACAATTATCCACCGAAGTGAAGGTGAATAGCGCTAGGATATCCACCGAGATGCGAAGCGTTGAAGTGAATATCCAACCTCGTCCCCAGGGCATTTTGCCTCCGCAGCTGAAGGTCGGCGAAAATGGCCCTGGGATCTACAATCCCATTGGTCTGTTCTAAAACGCATTAATCATTTTGCAGTATAATTTATTCAAACAACTCTAGTGCTTTAAAATTTTGTTTGTCTTCAAATTATGCGGTAAACTTACGAAGTTACCGAGAGTATAGTCAAGATTCACTTATGTCCTATACTTGCCGTGCTATGTGTTTGTCAAACTCATGGATATAAGAAGAATTATGCAAACATACTGCTCTTAAAATAACGTCTTTAGATCCATTCAATAAGTTGGCAAATAGTTAATTACTTCACATTTATTATTCGTAAACAAACAACGGAGATTTAATTTCACATGAATTAATATTAGGATGTTAGGGTTTGTACCCTATCAAAACACCCAGAAATCCTGGGTGTCATATGACCAGCCGATCCCAGGGCCACATTTTGCCGAAAGACAGTTTGCCGAAAGACATTTTGCCGAATGGACATTTTGCCGAATGGACATTTTGCCGACGGAGGTTTTGCCGAACAGGCGTTTTGCCGAACGGGTATTCTGCCGAACGCACATTGTGCCGAACGGTCAGTTTGACGAACGGACAACTTGCCGAAAATAGAGATATCTTCTGAACTTTAAAGGTTCGCTTACACGGTCAAAATTTCTGTTATTAAAGTCATGCATTGTCGATTTTGATGACAGAAACTTTGATAGTGAAATATAGTTTGGTTTTATATTCTTTCAGGTTTTTGACAAGTTTACAGAAACTAATTTTGCGATATAGAGAATAACATCATTCAACATCATTCATGAATGCGACTTGTTTGTTTATTTGACAATGTTTGTTTGTTTACGACCTCACGTCAAAACAGGGTTCCCACGGAGGGGTTGGGGTGTATATCAGGAACACGATATTTTATAAGCCTCTGAATCATCTCCACCATACAGATTACGAAGTTCTGTGGGTCTATTTTCGTCCAAGTAGACTTCCTCGCGGGTTTTCCTGCTTGATACTTGGTGTCGTTTACCATCCACCTAATGCTAATGATGATGAAATGCTCCAATTTCTCTCCACATCACTGATTACTATTGAAAGCACCTATCCTGGCTGTGGATTTATTCTTGCAGGCGACTTTAATCGGTTAAAATGCAATCGGATATTAACACAGTTCAGTTGCAAACAGATTGTTAACGTTTCCACAAGGGCCAACCAGACTTTGGATTTAATAATAACCAACTTACATTCGTTTTATTTCCGCCATTTGGTCTTTCAGATCATAATGTTGTGATTGTCAATCCTTGCAAAAGAGAACCCAAGTCATGCAGTAGAAGAATTATCTCTAGGAGAGATTTACGATCTAGTAAAAGGCATGAGCTTGGAAGATACCTTACATCTATCGATTGGTCCTCTCTGAATCATTTTGACACATGCGAAATGAAACTCCAGTATTTTGAAGAGTTAGTACGTCTCGGTATTAGCACCATTATGCCAATAAAGAAAACGGCTTTGCATGTACACGATCCTCCATGGATTACTGCAGAATTTAAAGAGCTTATAAGGAAGCGTCAAGCTGCCTTCTGCAGTGGAAATACCTTTCAGTTCAAGTATTACCGGAATCGGGTTAACCGCGAGCGAAAGACATGCCGGGCGAAATTCTACTCTTCAAAAGTAAAGAATCTTAAATCGACCAAACCGAAGAGATGGTGGAAGGAGGTGAAGCAGATTGCTGGTATGGTACCTACAACCGGCTCCGATGACCTATGTAGTCAACTTCATTTAGACGATATCGAGAATATGCAACGTCCTGACATTGCGAATTTAATTAATAACGCCTTTTTGGAGCCCATGAACTCCTTCAATCCACTGTCAACCCTTCCCCCCTTTGATAATTATTCCTCTTTTCAAGTAAACGAACTGGAAGTCTTTCATTTATTGAAAGCAATTAATCGTGGAAAGGCGTCAGGTCCTGACGAAATCCCCAATTGGGCTCTTAAGGAATATGCTGAAATCCTCGCACAGCCAGTATGCGCTGTGCTAAACAGCAGCTATGCCGAACAACAACTACCTAAATCTTGGAAGCTTGCCAACATTGTGCCCCTCATAAAAACTAAGCCCGTTAGCGACATTTGTAAGCAGTTACGACCAATTTCACTTACTGCCGCTATTTCGAAAATCGCTGAGGACTGTGTTGTTAAAAAATACATTGCTCCAGCTATCATGAGTATAATCGATCCAAGTCAATATGGAGTAATACCAAGAAGTTCAACTACTCTCGCTGTTATATCTATAATCCATGAATGGTCGCAAGCTACTGATGGCACTGGCTCTGCTGTCAGAGTCATCCTGTTCGATTATAGAAAAGCATTCGACCTTATCGATCATGCTTTACTGGCTGATAAAATTTCCAATTTAGCTATTCCACGTGCGGTTGCTCGCTGGACAATCGATTTTTTGATGAATCGAAAGCAGAGAGTGAAATTATCCAATGACTGTTATTCGGAGTGGGGTGATGTACTCTCCGGTATCCCTCAAGGTACAAAATTAGGGCCCTGGTTATTTTGTTTAATGATAAACGATCTTGATATTTGTGATATATCGAGGTGGAAGTTTGTTGATGACACAACAGTTGCTGAAGTAGTTAGTAAGGACACAGAGAGCCGTGTTCAAGTCGCAGTTGATGTTGTGGAAGATTGGTCGAAGGCAAATGGGCTATCTCTTAACGCTGAGAAATGTAAACAACTGAGAATCGATTTTAAAAAAATTAAACAACCTTTTGATCCTGTACTGGTGGGTGGAGAAGCATTGCCTATAGTTGAGAGTGCAAAAATATTGGGTCTTGTTATGACAGGCACACTTCAGTGGAAAGATAACATCAGAGAGAGTATAAAGAAAGCTAATAAACGCCTCTATTTTATAGTATTATTGAAACGGGCAGGCGTAAATGTCAAAGATGTTTTGAACTTTTATTGTGCAGTGATCAGGCCTGTGCTCGAGTATTGTGCGCAAGCCTTCCATCATTCCATCCCAAAGTATTTGGCAGACGAACTTGAGACTGTCCAGAAACGTGTGCTAAAAATTTTATCTCTTGAAATGACATATTGTGAGGCCCTTGAGTATTATAGACTGCCTACTCTAATTCAAAGAAGAGAGGACATGTGTGACAAACTCTTTACGAGTATCATCAAGGATCCAATGCATAAACTTCATCATTTGCTGCCCCCGAAGAACGAGACTGATTATTCTTTCAGGACGAATCGGTATTTTAATATGTACGTTACACGCACGAACCGCTTTTATAACTCTTTTATCCCTGTTATGTGTAGGAAGTTTGTCGGATAGATTTTATGCTTATTTTAATCGAATTTTGATCGTGGGTGGGTTTTATAATATTGTATTAATAATATATTTATATGTAGTGCATGTGATAATATGTAATCCACGTAATTCAGCTTCTGGCTGCAATGTGGTTTCAATTTAATAATAATAATAATAATAATAATAATAATAATAATAATAATAAAAAATAACAATAATAATAATGTTGGCAGGGGCGCACGTTCAACAAATTGCTGCGGGTGGGCGGATTGCAGACGATCTGGGCACGATTTTCTTATACTCTAAATACATTAAATGACGGCTGACGAACAGGTTATAATTTGGGAAGCCTAATTAGTTAAAGATAAAAAAATGTCAATGTTTTCAGGGTTGCACATTCAACAAATTGCTGTGGTGAGGTGGGGGTGTGGTTGCGGACGACCGAGACCGACTTCCTTGTACTCTACAACGAGGGGTAGCGACACAGGTTTTATTTTGGAGGCTAATCAGTTCTTGCTAATTTTTAAACCATAGTTAATATTTCCAGTCAAGTCAATCAAAATACGCAATATTTGCAATACCGAAGCTCGGAAATGCTATTTACTGCACTTTCCGGCACCCGGGTTGAAGAATTTGGATTAAAATTGGCTTTTGTCCACGCAATACATGTGTAGCTGGTGCATTGAACATCTCTCATGCATAGCAGAAATTCGGTTCTCAACCTCAGATTGTATCAACTTTTGATAGAATCTGAAACAAAACTGGCACCGACTTTTTGTGATTTTTGAGTGTTCAGGGGGATTTACCTTTTTTTAATTGACGGAATATTTTGTGCAAATGCAGGATGCGTTTTAATTTAACCAGTCTCACGGAAGCAAATTTTTCTGGCATGCAACTCATGTTAATATATTATCATTGTCAGATTCAGGGTTGTAATTGTCAACTTCTCGTGCTGAATACATCTTGCTTTGGGACAGGTTTTCCATTGCTATCGAATATCATAATTTGAAAGCATGGCAATTATATATACCTGTACACCTGATCAATCATGGTTGACTTCCTCGTGGGCTTTCGATTTCGTAACCTGTTGCATCATTCTAAACCAGAACGCCCGTGGGAAATTCAATCCATGGTCAGACAAGAAATTTACTGCATCTTACTTTCAAATTTCTTACTCTTATCAACTTTGAGAGAACTTCAACGTTTAAATTTTAATCAGTGAGTCTATTAGTTCGACAGTTGCTATGATTTGTTTACTCTCTTTAGCGACAGAAGAGGATTATTTCGAATACTACAGCTTAAGAGAGAGAAAATGAAGTGTACAATACCAGGTATTGTCGAAGAGTGCTCAGAATTGCTTCCACCCCCGCCTTTGTCCAAACTTAAATGACAAGGTTTGAAGCTTTCCATTCAAGCCACTTCCTACGCAAATGTTGTAAAACAGTTCTTTAGCTGTAGAATACTGTCATCGCAAAATACTAACGAAGAACTTAAATTATGTGCGAAAATTTAAAGTTTAGTTCTACAATCTTTGCCAGAAACTATGGGACAGCTGCTGTAATTTCATATATTTTGAAAGGAATAGCGCCCCCCGTTCCCCCAGTTCAATGTTGAGCCAACAA